CTCTGTCAGGCTTTCCTATGTTGTGTATTTGCTCTCTATGTCAGGCTTTATTATGTTGTGTATTTGCTCTCTGTCAGGCTTTATTATGTTGTGTATTTGCTTTCTCTGTCAGGCTTTCCTGTGTTGTGTATTTGCTCTCTGTCAGGCTTTCCTGTGTTGTGTATTTGCTCTCTGTCAGGCTTTCCTATGTTGTGTATTTGCTCTCTGTCAGGCTTTCCTATGTTGTGTATTTGCTCTCTGTCAGGCTTTCCTATGTTGTGTATTTGCTCTCTGTCAGGCTTTTGCGGTCAGGCTTTATGTTGTGTATTTGCTCTCTGTCAGGCTTTCCTATGTTGTGTATTTGCTCTCTGTCAGGCTTTCCTATGTTGTGTATTTGCTCTCTGTCAGGCTTTCCTATGTTGTGTATTTGCTCTCTGTCAGGCTTTCCTATGTTGTGTATTTGCTCTCTGTCAGGCTTTCTTGTGTTGTGTATTTGCTCTCTGTCAGGTATTTTGCTCTCTGTCAGGCTTTTGTGTTGTATTTGCTCTCTCTGTCATTTGCTCTCTGGCTTTCCTATGTTGTGTATTTGCTCTCTGTTCTGTCAGCTTTCAGGCTATGTGTTGTGTATTTGCTCTCTGTCAGGCTTTCCTATGTTGTGTATTTGCTCTCTGTCAGGCTTTCCTATGTTGTGTATTTGCTCTCTGTCAGGCTTTCCTATGTTGTGTATTTGCTCTCTCTGTCAGGCTTTCCTATGTTGTGTATTTGCTCTCTGTCAGGCTTTCCTATGTTGTGTATTTGCTCTCTCTGTCAGGCTTTCCTATGTTGTGTATTTGCTCTCTGTCAGGCTTTCCTATGTTGTGTATTTGCTCTCTGTCAGGCTTTCCTATGTTGTGTATTTGCTCTCTGTCAGGCTTTCCTATGTTGTGTATTTGCTCTCTGTCAGGCTTTATTATGTTGTGTATTTGCTCTCTGTCAGGCTTTATTATGTTGTGTATTTGCTCTCTGTCAGGCTTTATTATGTTGTGTATTTGCTCTCTCTGTCAGGCTTTCCTGTGTTGTGTATTTGCTCTCTGTCAGGCTTTCCTTATGTTGTGTATTTGCTCTCTGTTGTCTCTGTCAGGCTTTCCTATGTTGTGTATTTGCTCTCTGTCAGGCTTTCTTATGTTGTGTATTTGCTCTCTGTCAGGCTTTATTATGTTGTGTATTTGCTCTGTCAGGCTTTATGTTTGCTCTCTGTCAGGCTTTCTATGTTGTGTATTTGCTCTCTGTCAGGCTTTTCCTATGTTGTGTTATTTGTGTATTTTCTGTCAGCTTTCCTATGTTGTTTTGCTCTCTGTCAGGAGTTTGTGTTGTGATGTCTCTCTAGGTCATGCTTTAGTATGTGTGTATTTGTGTCCAGGCATTTGTTGTTGTTGTCTAGTTCATGTATACCAGTTCTGTGTTGTGTCCAGGTGTTGTTGTTGTCTAGTTCATGTATCCAGTTCTTGTGTCCAGGTGTTGTTGTTGTCTAGTTCATGTATCCAGTTTTTGTGTCCAGGTGTTGTTGTTGTCTAGTTCATGTATCCAGTTCTTGTGTCCAGGTGTTGTTGTTGTCTAGTTCATGTATCCAGTTCTTGTGTCCAGGTGTTGTTGTTGTCTAGTTCATGTATCCAGTTCTTTTGTCCAGGTGTTGTTGTTGTCTAGTTCATGTATCCAGTTCAGGTGTTGTGTCCATCTAGGTAATTGTTGTTTGTCCAGGTGTTGTTGTTGTCTAGTTCATGTATCCAGTTCTTGTGTCCAGGTGTTGTTGTTGTCTAGTTCATGTATCCAGTTCTTGTGTCCAGGTGTTGTTGTCTAATTCTTGTATCCAGTTTTTGTGCCCAGGTGTTGTTGTCTAGTTCTTGTATCCAGTTCTTTTGTCCAGGTGTTGTTGTTGTCTAGTTCATGTATCCAGTTCTTTTGTCCAGGTGTTGTTGTTGTCTAGTTCATGTATCCAGTTCTTGTGTCCAGGTGTTGTTGTTGTCTAGTTCATGTATCCAGTTCTTGTGTCCAGGTGTTGTTGTCTAATTCTTGTATCCAGTTTTTGTGCCCAGGTGTTGTTGTCTAGTTCTTGTATCCAGTTCTTGTGTCCATGTGTTGTTGTTTAGTTCTTGTGTCCAGTTGTTGTCTAGTCCTTGTGTCCATGTGTTGTTGTTTAGTTCTTGTGTCCAGGTGTTGTTGTCTAGTTCTTGTATCCAGTTCTTGTGTCCATGTGTTGTTGTTTAGTTCTTGTGTCCAGGTGTTGTTGTCTTTTCCTTGTGTCCAGGTGTTGTTGTCTAGTTCTTGTGTCCAGGTGTTGTTGTTGTCTAGTTCTTGTGTCCAGGTGTTGTTGTGTCCAGGTCTTGTGTCCAGGTGTTGTTGTTGTCTAGTTCTTGTATCCAGGTGGTGTTTGGTGTGTCCAGGTGTTGTTCTGTCTAGTTCCAGTTCTGGTGTTGTGTTCCAGTGTTCTGTTGTGTCCAGGTGTTGTTGTTGTCTAGTTCTTGTGTCCAGGTGTTGTGTCCAGGTGTTGTTGTTGTCTAGTTCATGTATCCAGTTCTTGTGTCCAGGTGTTGTTGTTGTCTAGTTCTTGTATCCAGTTCTTGTGTCCAGGTGTTGTTGTTGTCTAGTTCTTGTATCCAGTTCTTGTGTCCAGGTGTTGTTGTTGTCTAGTTCTTGTGTTCAGGTGTTGTTGTCTAGTTCTTGTGTCCAGGTGTTGTTGTCTAGTTCTTGTGTCCAGGTGTTGTCTAGTTCTTGTGTCCAGGTGTTGTTGTCTAGTTCTTGTGTCCAGTTGTTGTCTAGTCCTTGTGTCCAGTTGTTGTCTAGTTCTTGTGTTCAGGTGTTGTTGTCTAGTCCTTGTGTCCAGGTGTTCTTGTTGTCTAGTTCTTGTGTCCAGGTGTTCTTGTTGTCTAGTTCTTGTGTCCAGGTGTTCTTGTTGTCTAGTTCTTGTGTCCAGGTGTTCTTGTTGTCTAGTTCTTGTGTCCAGGTGTTGTTGTTGTCTAGTTCTTGTATCCAGTTCTTGTGTCCAGGTGTTGTTGTTGTCTAGTTCTTGTGTCCAGGTGTTGTTGTTGTCTAGTTCTTGTGTCCAGGTGTTGTTGTTGTCTAGTTCTTGTGTCCAGGTGTTGTTGTCTAGTCCTTGTGTCCAGGTGTTCTTGTTGTCTAGTTCTTGTGTCCAGGTGTTGTTGTTGTCTAGTTCTTGTGACCAGGTGTTGTTGTGTCTATTTCCTGTATCCAGTTCTTGTTTCCAGGTGTTGTTGTTGTCTAGTTCTTGTATCCGGTTCTTGTGTCCAGTTGTTTGATTTTTGCTGTTTTGTAGCTAGCAGTTATGTCTCTTGTTGATTCTCTGACAGCAGCATTTCTCAGTAAGTCTGAAATAGAGCTGCAGGCAGACCACAGACATCTGCAGTCTGTTAGATTCTGAGAGGAAGGTTTACACAGATATTGCCTGGCCACATTTAGTCTGATGGATTTAAACAGCTAGCTAAGAGACTCAGTAAATGTTTACATCCAGTCTTGTTGTTTAGCTGTTTGTAAATACTGGAAATTATAAATTTGACTTTTGATAAGATTTGACTTTTGACAAGGTGTGTCTGTTCATCAACAGGTCTGAAGACAGAACAGAGATTTTGGGAGTGACCCCTGCTAAAAAAAGGCGAGTTTTGGAATCATCTGCAGTCGAAGCTGGGCGACCTCCGCAACAAATGCAAGCACATGCCAGAATGCTGTCGCAGGTTCGGGCTGAGACCCAAGTTGCCAGGTCCAAGACTTTTAGTGTGTCACCGACCTCCACCCATAAACCGACACCTTCAACAGCCTCCTCGGCTGAAAGTCCAAACTCTTTACAAAGGATAACCCGAACTGTGACCATGACCTCCACAGGAATCATCATCAAAACTCAAGGCCAGACTCGAACATTGGCCCAGATCAAGGCTCAGACGCAAGCAGCCAGGGCTGTGACCTCCAGTCCAGCAGCGGTGACTCAGACACCAGCCAACCAGACCATGAGAAGCTTATTATCCACAGGGCCCGGCAGTAAAACACCTGGTCAGACACGGACGTTGGCACAAATCAAAGCTCAGACGCAGGCTAGAGCTCCCATACAACCTCAGTTACTGCAGTCAGCTTCAGCAGATGGAGCCTCCTGTTGCCCCCATGTGCCCAATATTTTATCTGCCTCCAGTAGCAAGTTGCATTCTTCTTCTGATCAGCTCGGGGGTCTGGCCTCGGATGTCAACCTCCGCAGATCTATGCAGATATGTCAGGCAGAACTCAAGAAAAGTCTCAGCAAGTCTGGGGCAGTTTCAGGGACCAGTACCGGCACTAATTTAACCCCACCCCCTCTTCCTCCACAAACTCCTCCCCCTCTCTCGCAGTCACAGTTGAGCAGTGCCTCAAAAATCTTGTTTTCCCAGTCAAGGACCTCGCCAGGCCCGGGGCAGACAGTAAGTGCTGGTCACATGACAGGAACACCACCCCCACAGCAACACTTCATACAGCCAGTCTCTCCAGCAAAACCTTCTTCCAGGTCAGTGACTCCAACAGCAGTGGTCATCAGCAGGGGATCAGTCTCTCCAGTAGCCACAAAAATCCTGACATTTCCTGGTTCTGTGGTCTGCTCCTCTGGCCATGGCTTTGATGGGACAAACAACAAAATCATCGTGGTGTCGTCCAGCGTCAGTCCTGTCCGGGAGACATCGGGCACCCTCTTGTTCCTGAGCAGCGGCAGTGCCATTCAGGGTGGCTCTTTGAAAGCTTCTGCCCTGTCTTCCAGCCAGACCAGTTTGATAGTTGCCTCCACTTCCCCTGCTCCTTCGACATCCCCAGGGGTGTCTCAAGTACAAAGACGATATCTGACACAGGAAGCTTTGCGAGCATTCCTGAATGCACCCCCACGGGCCGCCAGTGCCCCTCCCAACAACACAGATACAGTGGTAGAAACACAGACAACTGCTTCTATCGTGAGGTCAGCCAGTGTAGGTCATCACGGGGTTGTGTTAACACAGCCGCCTGCAACAACGGCGACTTCCCCAGCTTCGCGAAGCACTCCCCCCACACACAAAACATTCACTGTCTCATTAGGGGACGTACCACAGAGCTTCAGCATAGAAACTCTCAACAGTACTCGTGCCAGCTCACCCTTACAGACTCCTAGAGCTGCCTCTCCCGCTCTTCACTCTGCTGGTGGCCTTCTAGCAAACAATCATATACAAGTGTTTTCTGCGACTTCCTCCCCGGAGACGGCCTCGTCCCCATCAGCAATACCAGGCAGTTTTAGTGTCCACAAAGTGGACCTTTCCTCTCTGCCCACATCTGTCAGCCCAAACATCCAGCATGCGATTCCTCCGCTCAGGTTTTCCTCGTGTCCCATCATTGCTTCTTCAGGCTCTGCTAGTCACACAATTTCAGGTAAGAAATTCAGTACGGCTCGGATTATTCACGTCTCGGGGCCGGGCAAACAGCTGTCCAGCCCTTTAGCCCAGCTGTCCAGCCCTTCCAAACTGGGCAATGTGGTCACCTTCCATCCCTTGGTCACCCTGTCCTCTAGCAACAGCCAGCAACTGTCCGCGCTCAGGTCTCCTGCCATGGTCAGTGTCCAGACATCATCATCATCCTCATGCGAGCACCACTCAGGGCTTCCCAGTGACCAGGGCTCAGGCTCTTCATCATCATCATGTGCCTGCAGCCACAAGGCTATGGTTGTATGCAAAAAATGTGGTGCTTTTTGCCACAACGACTGTATCGGTCCGTCACGACTTTGTGTCACATGTCTGATAACTATATGACACAGGCAATCTGTGTGGCAGATGTTTTTTAACTGTGTGGGTTGACCAGGCAACATCAGAGACAATAACTGGATCCTAGGGCAGGATTCACTGTCTGTTTTTGTCCTGTTTGCTAGCAGACGTGTTGTGGTTTTATCAGAGTCTGTGCTGCCGTTAGTAGTTTGACGTATTGGTTGTTGTGTGTTGTATTTGCTGCCAGAATCAATCAACAGGAAACAGACAGACTACAGGAGATATGGTTTTATCTTTCAGCACAGAGAGCCAGATTCTGGAATCAAGAATTACTTGTGTCATATTTTATCTGACATAGACCATTGGTGTTTGGGAAGGCAGACAGTACCGGCTATATTGTGTGGGGTTTGGGAAGGCTGACATAGATGAGATCCTGTGTGTGTGGGGTTTGGAAGGCAGACAGTACCGCTATGAGATCCTGTGTTGTGTGGGGTTTGGGAAGGCAGACAGTACCTATGAGATCACGCTATGAGACATCCTATGAGTGTTGTGTGTGGGGTTTGGGAAGGCAGACAGTACCGCTATGAGATCCTGTGTTTGTGTGGGGTTTTGGGAAGGCAGACAGTACCGCTATGAGATCCTGTGTTGTGTGGGGTTTGGGAAGGCAGACAGTACCGCTATGAGATCCTGTGTTGTGTGGGGTTTGGGAAGGCAGACAGTACCGCTATGAGATCCTGTGTTGTGTGGGGTTTGGGAAGGCAGACAGTACCGCTATGAGATCCTGTGTTGTGTGGGGTTTGGGAAGGCAGACATTACCGCTATGAGATCCTGTGTTGTGTGGGTTTTTTTGGGAAGGCAGACAGTACCGCTATGAGATCCTGTGTTGTGTGGGGTTTGGGAAGGCAGACAGTAAAGCGCTATGAGATCCTGTGTTGTGTGGGGTTTGGGAAAGCAGACAGTAACGCAGACAGTACCGCTATGAGATCCTGTGTTGTGTTGTGGGGTTGGGAAGGCAGACATTACCGCTATGAGATCCTGTGTGTGTGGGGTTTGGGAAGGCAGACATTACCGCTATGAGATCCTGTGTTGTGTGGGGGTTTGGGAAGGCAGACAGCAAACATTACCGCTATGAGATCCTGTGTTGTGTGGGGTTTGGGGCAGACAGTACCGCTATGAGATCCTGTGTTGTGTGGGGTTTGGGAAGGCAGACATTACCGCTATGAGATCCTGTGTTGTGTGGGGTTTGGGAAGGCAGACAGTACCGCTATGAGATCCTGTGTTGTGTGGGGTTTGGGAAGGCAGACAGTACCGCTATGAGATCCTGTGTTGTGGGGTTTGGGAAGGCAGACAGTACGCTATGAGATCCTGTATTGTGTGGGGTTTGGGAAGGCACACAGTAACGCTATGAGATCCTGTGTTGGAAGGCACACAGTACTGTGTGAGGGTTTGGGAAGGCAGACAGTACCGCTATGAGATCCTGTGTTGTGTGGGGTTTGGGAAGGCACACAGTACTGCTATGAGATCCTGTGTTGTGTGGGGTTTGGGAAGGCAGACAGTACCGCTATGAGATCCTGTGTTGTGTGGGGTTTGGGAAGGCACACAGTACTGCTATGAGATCCTGTGTTGTGTGGGGTTTGGGAAGGCAGACAGTACCGCTATGAGATCCTGTGTTGTGTGGGGTTTGGGAAGGCAGACAGTACCGCTATGAGATCCTGTGTTGTGTGGGGTTTGGGAAGGCAGACAGTACTGCTATGAGATCCTGTGTTGTGTGGGGTTTGTGGTGGAGCTCTGTGCAGTCTGTATCAAGCCTAAGGTGTGTGCTCAATGGTGGTTTGGTCAGATACCTGGAGTGTCTCAGGATTGGATTGAGGCAGCTGGAATTAGAGATTATATTTTGGGAACTGTGAGAACTGGGGATTATCTGTTGGAAACAAGGAAAACTAGGGATTATCTGTTGGAAACAAGGAAAACTTAGGATTATATTTTGGGAGCTAGGAGAACTGGGGATTATCTGCTGGGAACACGGAAAACTTGGGATTATATTTTGGGAGCTAGGGGAACTGGGGATTATCTGTTGGAAACAAGGAAAATGGGGGATTATCTGTTGGAAACAAAGAAAACGGGGGATTATATATAGATGGTAGGATGAAGTAAAACTGAGAAGTTTGGTCAGAAGAACTAGAAAATGTGAGAATTTGACAAGAGATATCAAACTGAAGAGTTTGCTGATGTGGAACTAGCAGAACAGGGAGTGTTTGGGAAGTAGTGGGTGTGGTACATGATACAGCTGAAGTGTGGGGATAGGAATCCAGGAGGTGAATGTGTGGTCTGATACAGCTAAGTGTGGGAACAGATCCAAGAGGGCTGGGTGTGGGCTCTGATACAGGGGAAGTGTGAGTTCAGGGACCCAGGATGTCTGGGTGTGGGCTCTGATACAGTGGAAGTGTGGGTTCAGGGACCCAGGATGGCTGGGTGTGGGCTCTGATACAGTGGAAGTGTGGGTACAAGGACCCAGGATGGCTGGGTGTTGGCTCTGATACAGTGGAAGTGTGGGTTCAGGGACCCAGGATGTCTGGGTGTGGGCTCTGATACAGGGGAAGTGTGAGTTCAGGGACCCAGGATGGATGAGTATGGGCTCTGATACAGGGGAAGTGTGAGTTCAGGGACCCAGGATGGCTGGGTGTGGGCTCTGATACAGTGGAAGTGTGGGTACAAGGACCCAGGATGGCTGGGTGTTGGCTCTGATACAGGGGAAGTATGGGTTCAGGGACCCAGGATGGCTGGGTGTGGGCTCTGATACAGTGGAAGTGTGGGTACAAGGACCCAGGATGGCTGGGTGTGGGCTCTGATACAGTGGAAGTGTGGGTTCAGGGACCCAGGATGGCTGGGTGTGGGCTCTGATACAGTGGAAGTGTGGGTACAAGGACCCAGGATGGCTGAGTATGGGCTCTGATACAGTGGAAGTGTGGGTTCAGGGACCCAGGATGGCTGGGTGTGGGCTCTGATACAGGGGAAGTGTGAGTTCAGGGACCCAGGATGGCTGGGTGTGGGCTCTGATACAGTGGAAGTGTGGGTTCAGGGACCCAGGATGGCTGGGTGTGGGCTCTGATACAGTGGAAGTGTGGGTTCAGGGACCCAGGATGGATGAGTATGGGCTCTGATACAGTGGAAGTGTGGGTTCAGGGACCAGGATGGCTGGGTGTGGGCTCTGATACAGTGGAAGTGTGGAGTTCAGGGACCCAGATGGCTGAGTATGGGCTCTGATACAGTGGAAGTGTGGGTTCAGGGACCCAGGATGGCTGGTGTGGGCTCTGAATACAGTGGAAGTGTGGGTTCAGGGACCCAGGATGGCTGGGTGTTGGGCTCTGATACAGTGGAAGTGTGGGTTCAGGGACCCAGGATGGCTGGGTGTGGGCTCTGATACAGTGGAAGTGTGGGTTCAGGGACCCAGGATGGATGAGTATGTGGCTCTGATACAGGGGAAGTGTGGGTTCAGGACCCAGGATGGCTGGGTGTGGGCTCTGATACAGTGGAAGTGTGGGTTCAGGGACCCAGGATGGCTGGGTGTGGGCTCTGATACAGTGGAAGTGTGGGTTCAGGGACCCAGGATGGCTGGGTGTGGGCTCTGATACAGTGGAAGTGTGTGGTTCAGGGACCCAGGATGGCTGAGTATGGCTCTGATACAGGGAAGTGTGGGTTCAGGGACCCAGGATGGCTGGGTGTTGGCTCTGATACAGTGGAAGTGTGGGTTCAGGGACCCAGGATGGCTGGGTGTGGGCTCTGATACAGTGGAAGTGTGGGTTCAGGGACCCAGGATGGCTGGGTGTGGGCTCTGATACAGTGGAAGTGTGGGTTCAGGGACCCAGGATGGCTGGGTGTGGGCTCTGATACAGGGGAAGTGTGGGTTCAGGGACCCAGGATGGCTGGGTATGGGCTCTGATACAGGGTGGGTGTGGGCTCTGATACAGTGGAAGTGTGGGCTCTGATACAGTGGAAGTGTGGGCTCTGATACAGTGGAAGTGTGGGCTCTGATACAGGGGAAGTATGGGCTCTGATACAGGGGAAGTGTGGGCTCTGATACAGGGGAAGTGTGGGTTCAGGGACCCAGGATGGCTGGGTGTGGGCTCTGATACAGTGGAAGTGTGGGTTCAGGGACCCAGGATGGCTGGGTGTGGGCTCTGATACAGTGGAAGTATGGGTTCAGGGACCCAGGATGGCTGGGTGCGGGCTCTGATACAGGGGAAGTGTGAGTTCAGGGACCCAGGATGGCTGAGTATGGGCTCTGATACAGGGGAAGTGTGGGTTCAGGGACCCAGGATGGCTGAGTATGGGCTCTGATACAGGGGAAGTGTGGGTTCAGGGACCCAGGATGGCTGGGTGTTGGCTCTGATACAGTGGAAGTGTGGGTTCAGGGACCCAGGATGGCTGAGTATGGGCTCTGATACAGGGGAAGTGTGGGTACAAGGAAATTGAGCTGGCGATAGTTGATGCCAGGATGGCTGTGGATAAAGTGATCAGATCTCTGCTTGTCCGAGAGTTTCAGCTGGTGACAGCAACAACTTGCTTGCTCTCAGACAACAGTTTGGTTGATCACCTGTCTTCTAACCTGGGGCTAGTCAGCTACACAAGTCAGCTAGAGTGCGTTTACAAATTTGTGCCGTTGTGTTTTTGGTAATTTCTTGGTATTTAATTATTCTGGTTTTTGTATGAATGTGCCTCCATTTTTCATCTCGACGTTAAAGTTTTATACATAAATAATATTTAGACTACCTAGTTGTATTGGAACTTACATTTCTTTGTAATTTTCCTCACTTCTGTAATTTTAGTTAGGTAACAAAATAAGTTTTACTGTACCAATGTAAATGACTCTAAAAACAAAAATGTGTTTACAACTTATGATAAACTTTGAGACAATCCAGCCCCACTAATTTTACAGCGCATAACCAGACTTTCAGTGCAATGGTTGTAGTCTCATTTAAAATTTCGGTAAAACAAAAGAAATACTTTTTTTAGGGGTAATTGACCACATTTGAACTTTGTGCTGTATA